TACGTGAGCTGATTCTCAACCCCCCCCTTTGCTATCCGAGACTGGGGGGGGGATATCGTGGCGGGGGGCAGGATATCTCCTCAAGGCGTCCCCCGCCCGCACCCTCACCCTGGGCCGCGCACGCGCCGCCGGCCATGGGCTATTGGCCTCCAGCCAGTGCCGCCGATTCTGGGAGGGGGTGAGAGCGAGATGATGATGATCGCTCCTGGGCCGTCTTGGGTCGTCTTGTTTCGACTAGACGTAAGAGTGACCTTTCGCCGGAGTGACCTTTGGTGCGGGCACAGATGGGTCCCCAGATGGCTGAAAACGAAGCAGGGGCAGCGGCTTGCGCGCCCAGGTTCGGTCCCCCCGCGGCCAACAAAAAGCCGCGCACCACAGGTCACTCCTACCCAGGGTCACTCTTGCGTGTAGCCGATTGTGGCGCTCCTGGGCCGTCTTGGGCCCTTCTGGGGCCGTCTTGGAGCCCTCTTGGGGGCCTGTTGGCGTGTCTCTTAAGGAGCTCTGGGGCCGTCTTGGACACTGTGAAGGCCCAAGGCGAATACGCATGGGTCATTTACGACCCTGCTGGAGCGATTGTTACATATGCTGGCCAACTCCTCGGCTCCCGTGTCATCACTGATAGCATGGCAGAATCTACGGCCTTTTCTGCGCCTCCCCCCTCTTGGACGCCCCATTCTCCTGGCCGTCCCCGAGGAAGGAAGCGCCGCCGTCTCGGCCACGCGCACAGGGGGGGGGGCGAAGCAGCAGCAGCGCCGGGAGCTCCCGTCGTGAAAAAGAGTCAGCGACGCTGGCCACGCGCACAAGGGGGTCGGGGAAGAGGGGAAGCCTGGTTAGAAGGACGCTGCTTCTGAAAAGGCGCGGGCCTTGTTCATAGATGTAAGGCCAGCGTCTTCAAGGAAGCAGCGTCCTTGCAAGAAGCCTTACCCCCTCCCCCTACCCCATTGTGTGCGCCGCAAACCGTCGCCGCCGCCGCCCTCGCCGTCCCCAGAGATCTGGACGTTGCCATTTTTTCACGACGGGCGTTTGCGCCAGGTTTCGAGCCTGGGGCCCTCACAGATCAATCCGGCTCGAAAAATAGCGCAAGAAGATGTGGTCTAGACCTTGCGGCGTGATTGTTCGCGCTGTTGCCATTTTTGTCGCACCATCGGATGTCAGGCTCGCGGCCGTCGTCGTCGTGGCCGCCACCGCCAGCGCCGGCGCCGCCAGCGCTGACGCCGTCGTCGTCGCGGTCGCCTCAGCGGCCGCCGCCGTCGTCGTCGCCTCCGCCGCCGCCGCCGTGGACGTGGTCGTTGGTGGTGGCGTCGGCGTCGTCGTCTGTCGCCTCTCTCCTACTCCTGCTCCCCCTCCTGTCCTCATCGCTCCTCCTCCGCCTGCTCTCCGGCACGCGCCTTCCTTCCTCTCCAGCGCTTGCTCCGCGCCCGCAGGGGAGGAGGAGGCAGATTACTCTCCATCCCCCCCTCCTCTCCTCCCTTCCCTCCCCCTTCCTCCCTCCTCCGCGCGCGTGCTCTCGAGAGGAGGAGAAGGATGAGGAGTAGCAGCCGCAAGGATGCGGGCAGGATGAGCGGGAGGAGCAGAAGGGAGGCGGAGGGACGAGGAGGAGACAGGATGGGTAGGGGGGAGGAAGAGGTGAGAGGAGGTGAGAGGAGAGATGAGAGGCGCAAGCTAGGTGCGCTTGCTCAACATCGCACATGCTACACCCTCCCACACATCCGTTCCAATTAGGCTGATGTGTCGCTCTGTTCGCCGACGGATGTCATAGCATATCTGGAACCTCCTGTAGTTTTTTGAGGAGGAGGAGGTGGCGGATGAGCAGGAGGATGAGCAGGAGGATGAGGAAGGAGGAGGAGGAGGAGGAGGACCAGGAGGCAAGAGGGAGAAGTTCGGGCGGTGTGCAGCAGTGCTGCCAGAACTCGAGGCCCAGGGCATCCGTTCCGCCCCGACTGTCTTCAGCGCCTATGGCCGCGGCCCTCCCGACGTCACACATGTTGAACGGGGCCGCGCGTCGCGCGGCCCTACGTCGGGGGGTGGCCATCGCTGAAGTGCCAGTGCGTGGCTTGGCGCGGCACCTCGCTGCCGCCGTTTGGTCGCGGGCGGCGGCGATGGTCTACAGATGCTCAGGCGACGGTGGCGCCGAGCTGGCGGCGGCGGCACCCGCAGAGAACGGCCGCGAGGACGACGAGGACGGCGGTTTAATGGTGGCTGGCGAGGCCGCTGCGGAGTGCAAATGAGGCCCAGGCGCGGCGGGTGATTTTTCCAACGCCTTGTGGAGCTCTTGTGAGGTCACCGATCTCCCTGTGACCTCTTGTTGCATTCCCCAGCCCCCGCGAGGTCGCCGACCTGTCGGGAACCTTCCAGTGCCTCTTGAAGCCCCCGCAAGGTCACCGATCTTCTGGTGACCCGGGGCCGCTTCTGGCCCCCGCGAGGTCACCGACCCGCTCCGCTGCGTCCCTTCTCCTCTTGCCTCTTCCTCCTCCTTCCTGCTTATTTTGTTTTGTTGTCTTCAGTTCTTCGCAGGCAGGGGAAACCAACAAGCGCAAGTTTCGCCCCAAACTGCCACTTTGTGGCCTTTGTCCGATTTCTCGGTCAGTCCGGGAGCGTACGGCACAGCGATGCTCGCTGCGGACAATTGCCCGCGTTTCCATCCCCCTTTTCCCGCTGCTTCCTCCTTCCTCCTTCTTCCCCTCCTCCCCCTCCTCCCCCTCCTCCTCGTCCTCCTCCTCCTCCTCCTCCTTCCTCCTCCTTCCTCCTCCTCCTCCTCCTCCTCCTCCTCCTCCTCCTCCTCCTCCTCTTCCTCCTCGTCCTTCTAGTAGCAGCGCCGCGCGGTTTTGCCGCAGAGGCCAAGGCATCCGCGCGCGGGCTCGCCTGCTGCTGGCCGGTCGTCGCGTGGCTCCCCGGCCTGTTTGGTGCACATCGCGGGTGCCATTTTTACCTAACAGCGAAGTTTGATAGGTTTCTAGTGGGGTCAAAAAAGAGCAGCAGATGACTCCACAGGGGGGTCCGGGCGGCATCCGGGGAGCTGGGTCCGAACTCGTTTTTTCGCAAACAGTCACACACTTCGTGCTCTTCGACCTCCCAGAACTCCATTCCCGGGCCACATTCTGAATGCCCGGAGCAAATTGTAAGCCACTTCGTGCTCTTCGATCTCCCAGAACTCCATTCCTGGGCCACATTTTGAATGCCTGGATCCAACTGTAAGCCACTTCGTGCTCTTCGACTTCCCAGAACTCCATTCCCGGGCCACATTTTGAATGCCCGGAGCCAACCGTAGGCCACTTCGTGCTCTTCGATTTCCCAGAACTCCATTCCCGGGCCACATTTTGAATGCCCGGAGCCAACTGTAGGCCTCTTCGTGCTCTTAGCCTTCCCAAAACTTCATTCCCGGGCCACATTTTGAATGCCCGGAGCTAACTGTAGGCCACTTCGTGCTCTTCGTCCTCCCAGAATTCGATTCCCGGGCCACATTTTGAATGCCCGAAGCCACCTGTACGCCAGTTGTGCTATTCGATTTCCCAGAACGCCACTCCCGGGCTACATTTTGAATACCCGGAGCCAACTGTTGGCCACTTCGTGCAGCAGGACGAGGAGGACAAGGACCAGCAAGAGGACGAGGAGGAGGAGGAGGAGGACGAAGAGGAGGAGCCGGAGAAGGAGGACGAGCAGGAGGAGGAGGAGGACGAGGACGAGGACGAGCACGAGGAGGACGAGCACGAGGACGATAGCAGTGTATCGTTTGGACCTACATCCATTGATAGCAGTGTCCCGTTTGGACCTACACCCATCGATAGCAGCGTCTCGTTTAGACTTCAATAAATTGATACAAACATCTCATTTGGAGATTCACTTCTCGAAAACGATGAGTCGTTCGACAGTCCACTCATTGATAGCAGTGTCTCGTTCGAAGATGGGTTGATTGATCGAAGTGTCTCGTTTGTACTATGTTTGCTAATAGTGTTTCTAATGATAGTTCTCGTTCACTGCACCCAGTACAACTACTACTTCACTGTTACCACTACTACCGCCACTGCTACTTTTACTGCTACTACTACTGTTTCTGTTGCTGCTGCTGCTGCTGCTCCTGTAGGTATTGCTACTGCAACTACTGGCATTCCCATTGCGACTGCGATTGGGACTGATGTTGCCACTGCGACTGCCACTGCGAATCCGAATGCGACTGCGAGAACAAAAAAACTCGACACCAGCACTCCTACATGAATGCCGTAGGCAATGCTTCCAGCTATGCTTTTACACATCGTTGTTAGGTTGCTTTGCCGGGATAGTTGGAAGGGAAGCCAGATTGTCCAGAGGGAGGAGGAGGAGGAGGAGGAGGAGGAGGAGGAGGAGCAAAAGGAGGAGAAGGAGGAGGAGGAGGAGGAGACGGAGGAGGAGGAGGAGGAGGAGGAGAAGGAGTGGGAGGGGGAGGAGGGGGACGAGGGGGAGCAAGAGGAGGAGGAGGAGGAGGAGGAGGAGGAGGAGGAGGAGGAGGAGGAGGAGGAGGAGGAGAGGAACAGCCGTAATAGCAGGAGCAGGGGTAGGAGGAGCGGGAGAAACTGGAGGACCACGAGAAGGCAGAGGAGGGGAAAGAGAGGCGACAACGACGAGGAAGGAATCCTATCCAGAGATCAGGCCCGCGCTGGAGCGAGAGCGCCATTCTGACCGACGGGAGCAAAGCGCTGACCCTGGCATTATGCCACTGTTGCAGCGGTTTCTCCATCTTCAAACATTTTGTTGATCTGCGGGGCGAGACCGAACCTTTTCCACTAAAGGCTAGGCGGGCTACGCACAACTTCAATTAGGGAGACAGGGCACAGGAAGGCGGGGCCTCAGGCGGCCGGAACGGGCGGGGCCTGGGGAACAGGCGGTGCCGAAGTGGATGTGCAGGAAAAGGTACGCTTCGGACAGGAACCGAGGGCGAAGACCCGGAAGGCGAAGGAAATGGTGTTGCCGTCAACGGCACTTCGCGAACACCAGCCTCAAGCACTGCAGGGGGGGACGCGCCACTGGACCAGGTCGACGCCCAGGAGGACGAAAAGCACCACGAAGGCGATGAGCAACGTTGTGCCACCAGATGATGCAGAGGAGGCCCGGGGTGGTAGTCCAATCCGCGACCAGGTAGCAATGAAACTTGAGGTGCGGCCTCCGAACGAACGGGCCGTCCATGACCGACAGGAAGTCGGTGAGCTGCAGGGAGAAAACCTGCCCTGCATCGACAGCGCGCGGAGACGGGCAGCAACCACACACGATGTGCTGACGTCCGCAATGCCAAAGGCCGGGCCTGAACCACGCAGCGCCATGGCGAGCGGGGCCGCCAATGCGGCAAGGTGCAGCGCCTAGCACCGGGCCGAAGCCGCGCAGTGCCGGGCGCTGCCGCCATGGAAGGCGGGGGAAGCGAGCGGGAGGGGAAGAAGCGAACAGGAAGGACAAGGGCGGCGCTCACCGCCAGCCGTCGACGTGCCAGCCCGCACCATCGGTGCTCATTTGGGTGGAGCTGGGCACCCAGTGGGATCAGGTGGGACACGCGGTCCCCATGCACGTTGAAGACAGGAGGGGGGGTTGGGAGCAGGTAGCACAGACGGGGACCAGGTGGACCAGTACACAAACGCCGCTGGTGGAGCCGTGCGCGTACCACGTGCACCGCTACAGCGCCCGTCATGCTGCGCGTGCCTGCGCCGTGCGCGTGACGGGGGCGCCCGTGGGTTGCCAGGCTCTTGGGCCAGCCTTCCAGCCAAGGCCGCGGGGGTACAGGTGGGGGGGGCCAGGAGGACACACGGTCCCAAGCCAGGGGGCAAAGGGGGAGGGGGAAGGGGGATCAGGTGGTGGGCGTGGCCAGCGGTGGGTCGCGCAAGGATCTTGTCGCAAGTCGGAGGGAAGGGAAGAAGTCGGTCGCAGCGCGCTGCGCCTGACAGGGGGGGCCGGTTGCAGGCTGGTCAGCGCCTGGGGCGCTTCCGGGTCCAGTTGTCGTTGTACCCGGAGCTGCGCGCCTGGCCCTCCCCGCGCCCTTCACCTTTGGCAACCTCTGTTTTCAGGACATCCTTGTACAGGGCCCTTTCCCGGACCCAGTCCACGTAGACGCGGGCGTACCGAGACCACGTCTCCACGTGGTGGTTGCTGCTGTCCATATCCTCCAGAAATCAGAAATTTGTTGATTATCTTGGGCTGCCAGCAGTTCGGGTCGAACGCAACCTGGTCTTTGGATTGGCCTTTGCCCTGCTCCTTACACATATGCTTGCGCCACGAGTGCAAGGCTGCGGTGAAATGGTATCCCCCCTCAGCCTGCAGCCTCTTCAGGTGTGTGACTGCTGTCTCGTGTGAGCGGCGTGGCCAGCTGACGCGATGGATTGTCCGTGGGCGGCTGGGGTCAGGGCAGCGGCGATCGCCCCTGTGGTGAGAGCTGCGTTGACCTTCTGGCTGGCGCCCAAGGGTCCACTCTGTGCCCCTGCCGCAGTTGCGGTCCTGGTCCCAGTGGCGCTCTCTGGCTCTGTCCCAGTCGTTGGTGTCTTGCATGCGCCACGGGGCCCACTCTACGCCTTGGTCGCGGTCTCGCTCGCGGTCGTGCTCTCTGGCACGGGCCCTGTCGCTGGGTCATCTGGGCGGGCGGCTCACCGCGGTCTCGTACGTTTCCCAGTGAACTGGATCTGCGCCTTGCCGCGCACGCGCTCATAGCTCATGTGCGGGGGGTGGGTTGAGTGCGGGGCGCCTGTCTCCTGGGGCCTTGGATTTGGGCCGCGTGTGCAGAGCGCGGTCGTCGGCGGCGGCCGTCGCAAACGCGGTCGGCCCCGTTGGTGCGCAGGCTGGCTGGGTCCGGCACGTATTGCTTGAGTCGCGCTCGGGACTGCTGCGTCGCTCGCGACGAGGGCTCGGCCCTCTTCGATTGTGTCGGGGTCTGAGGAGGGAGACCGCGTGGACCATGCTCAGGGCCTCCGCAAGCCTCTGCTTCTGTTCCTGCTCCTGGTCGTTGTCGGTGTAGTCAGGGTCCTCCTCCTAAGGGTGCGCGAGGGGCGCCGGCTCGCAGGTGGGGTCTTGTGTGTCCGTGCGCGGCGCGCAATGTTCAGGCTTGGAGTCGGGCTGAGCCCCCGACGCAGACGCGGCGGCGCCCCTGACGTCGGCGCCGAGCCAGGAGCTAGCGGGGACCGCTGGTGACATCGCCTTGCGCGCCTCGTCGGAGGTCCTGCCCAGGAAGGTG